AAATATTTTTATATTTTCAATAGTTTTTATTATTTAATTATTAATTTAAACATGATATGATTTATTTCCATTAAATTCTTTTTCTATTAAAAAATTTTTGATATAATTTTTAAATTTCAATTTCAATTTCAATGAAATATTGTTATTAAATCATAATTTTTATTATGATTTTCTAATCTTAGAAAATTAATTAGAATATATTATAAAAAACTTTATTTATTTATATATTATTTCATAAAATTGTTTCTTTACTTATAAAAATATTGGTTAAAATGATTCAATCTATTTTTCATTGCGCATATTGTAACATAACCTTAAGACTTCTGTTTCTAGGAGGAGGAATTTAATACTTTTTACAAGTAGTTTTATGTTTATCCAATTCAAGGATTTGTATAGGAATTGTGACTTTCTTAATTTTACTATCATTTTATATTAATATACAGGTATTAATATTTCTTTAATATTTATTGTTAATTAAATTTCCTATTAAAAATGTATATTCTAAAAACTATAAACTATAAAATATTTCATTTTAATTTAATGCTTTTTTTTAATTTTTTTATATATACATTTTATATTAAATCATTTATAATATTAATAAAATATTAATAAATAATATTAATTAATAATTATTGAAAATGATTTTAGGTTTATATACAATGGTTGCCCATACTGTACTTCTTGACTTTACAGTACCATCAAATGTAATAGTAGATGTGGAAAAACGTTCCACTCTAAAATTAGCTATTACTAATGTCCTTCAAGAATATTTTGATAGCTTAAAACCATTAACTGAATCAAGCATTGATGGAAGCTTTTTAGTCTTATATACAGGTCCTAGAGGTAGTCTAATTACAGTTCGAGGATATACTGAAGGCTTAATCACTATTAATATTGAATATTATAAGAGAGATGAAGAGGAAGCACTTTTGGATTTTGAGGTACAGTTTTTTATATTGATTTTATAATTATTTTGCAATATCTAGTTGCAAATTTCATAATATTTAATTGCCTGTCATGAATATCAAACACAAAATCAGCTTTTGTATCTCTCAAACATGGGGTCATTATAAGGTACATCTTGTGTTACATATGAATTAGTTGTATAACATAACAATAATTATATTAAATATATTATACAATTTTTTTTTTCTAATATAAAATCGTGAAATTGCATTCGTTAAACCGATTCGTGATTTTTCGTTTGCCGATTTTTTTGCCGCTAAACACTAAAATTGCAAGATAAACGTATTGTAAAAGATCATCGTTCGACGAATAGTATTATAGAAATAAGTAAAAATTTTACTATATGCGAAAGAAACACGCATAACAAAGAGGACCTTGTAGCAGTGGCGATACCTGGAAGCGGACGTTGCGATGGCTCTGAACAGCCAACGCAGTAAGCGCCTGCCACCAGTAAGGCGAGGAACCATATATGACCTCTATCTGACACTATCAGGTAGAAACCACTCCCCAATTAGTTCCTATTAGTTATCAATAGCATCTTAAAAACGTGCGAATCGTTTCCGTTGCACTTTAAAGCTCTGACCGATTACTTTTTTTCCGGTCGACGTGTATTTCCTTCCGATCCTCCCGGTATTCCTTTTTTAGTTTTTCCGCAAAGGGAAAATGATTTGATTGATACGTAAAAAAAAGAGTTGCTACGATTGGTTTAACAAGATAGTTTCTGTTTTTTTTATTCATCGGTTCGCTTGTCGCGGCCACCTTTAGTTGGCCAGAGAATTGGAGACAACGTTGCAGGCGGCAGTAGCCTCTACGCGTTCGCACTCGCTTTCACCAATTAAACGCGGCGGACCTTTTGAGAGATACTTTCCTACCGCCGGTGAGTTTTTTATTTATTATTCTGTTTACGGTATTAATGAAATATTATATCCGCAAAATATTTTCTTTCATCATGCGTCGTTAACGAAAAATGCTTTCGATTCATTTCCTCGATTGTATGTAATTTCTTATTCTATATTCAACATTCTTTTCATATTCATCGTGCCGAAATATCGTTATTTACTTTATAGTTTTTAAAACGGTATATAATTCGTCTCGTTTGTGTATATTTTTTTATTTTTATATAAATCATTTTTTATTTTAATAAAAAAAAATCCATTTAAACTACCTTGTTCGCTTGATAAGTTTTTTTTTAGTATATTTTTAGGATATTTGGCTACAGATGTCAAAATTGTTTAAGATGTAATTCTTTAAATTAAAATAAATCGAAAATTAATAATAAAAAATATTTTGCTTTTTTATTATTGACAATTAAAAATCAATGAAAATATTTTTAGTTGCAAGCTTTTTTATATGACAAATGAGGAACAGTTTAAAAAAATACAATAATTGAAGTTCTAGCATTTTAAAAATTATAATATAAATTAATTATCTTTAAATTTGAAATCTTATACTTCTCATTGTTTGAACTGCATTAGTTTATGATGGAGAATTTATTAATGTTTTGGGATAATTTCATTGATTTTTAGTTAACAATATGCAAAAAACATAATACTTAATTTTTTATTTTCATTTTATTTTAGTTTAAAGAATTACCTCTTAAATTTTTGAACAATTGTAGTTAAAGACTCTCTCTATGTGTATAATCAGTTGTTAAAACAAGCAGAAAATTCAAAAAAAAATTAAATCAATTTTATAATTTCAAATTATTTTTAATATTAAATAATTATGAAAATTATAATTCCGTAGGATTTATTATTTCTATAAATATATTAAGTGAATGATATATTTTTTATTTTTAAAATTTATATGCTATGCAAAAATACATAAAATTAATAGATATAAATAATGTGATAGATTTAGTAATCCATATATAAAATTCCTAATCTTCAATATTTTCATTCTTCTCAATTTTATTTTTAATGTAAAAACTTTTTTTTTTACAGATTTATGCTTTGCATCGCATGCATCTATTAAATGCTTTTTCATGCAATTCTAAATTTTATAATCTCTCAGTAGGTATTAAAATTATTTTTTTTTTTTTAAGATGACAGATTACTTGAATATGATATTGATAAGTTGGTCTTTGAAGCACGTTCTGCTTATCAAAAAGTGCAAATTGTTCATTCAAAATCATTAGGGAATTTATTGGTTCTTGATGAATTACAAAGTAAGAAAAATCCTTATATTTTTATAATAATTTAAAATTATATCTAAAAATAAAAAAATCGTTTACTTAAAAATTTTTAGACATATCTGAAGCAGATCTGATATATACAGAAACTTTAATGCAACGTGGAAAAGAAAATTATACAGGAAAAGAAATTGTTATTTTAGGAGGAGGAGATGGTGGTTTACTTTGGGAATTACTTAAAGAAAAACCAAAATTTGTAACTATGCTAGAAGTATGTCAAGTTATATTATATTATTACTATATTACAAGTTATTATATTGTATTATATTATTATGATATTTATCAATAAATTAATAAAAAATTAATTTTTCATTTTTAGATTGACGACGTCGTAATTAAAGCCTGTAGTCAACATATGAGAAGCATATGTGGAAACTGTTTGGATAAAAGAAAGGGTGAAAATTATGAGGTAAATTTATTATAAATATAAGATTGATTTTCAAAAATAAGATTATTAAAATTTTTTATGAAAAATTTGAATTTATAGATTATTGTTGGAGATTGTGCAAAAACTTTAGCACACATGATTGAAGAAGGCAGACAATTTGATTATGTTTTTGGTGACCTTACAGATATACCAATTAGCCCAACTCCACATGGAGATGCATGGGATTTTATTAGATTAATTTTAAATTCTTCAATGAAAGTTTTAAAATCTACGGGCAAATATATGACTCATGTAAGTAAAAATATGAGTAATTTGTAAAAATAATTTTTTATTTTATCTATATATAAATATTTTATTTTATTCTTCAGGGAAATGGAGCATCTTGTCCACAGTCACTAGAAATGTATGAACAAGTTCTTTCACAGCTTTGTGTACCCGTAACTTTTACCAAAGATAGTGCTTTTGTACCTTCTTTCTTCGAAGATTGGGTTTTTTATCAAGTATCGTTAAAATGATGGATTAAATCTATTACATTGAGATTTCAATGGAGGTATATTCACAATTCATTTTCTCTCTTATGACCCACATTTGACCCTAGTCGCAAATCTTTTGTTAACAAATCGGTTCCTGAAAAAAACAATCCCGATGCTGGACATGAAATCCCAATTGACACTACTACGCTGGCGTCTGTACATACAAAAGGTGGTGGTTATCTGTATCTATTTGTTTGTTTAGTAATTAATAAACTATACAAAGGTGCTCAATTATTTTTTCTACTAACTATCAATAATTAAATTAAGTTACCCAATGGTTCATTAAAAAATAAATTCAAAAAAAGCAATACAAACACATTATTGTACAAATAACTTTAATAAACAGAAATAGAATTATATGAAATTTTAATCATATATATACAAGTACTTTTACTTTACTTTTAATTAACAAGTATTTTGAATATATCTAATATTTAAATTGCATTTATTGATATTTATTAAATAAATGTTTTCTAAATGTATATAAAAACCTGAAATGTGTTGCATGAAGTATAAAATGTATTATGTAAATGATAAAAAATTAAGGAATATATATAAAACTATCATCTATTAAAAAACTAATTTTATTTTTTATTAGTTATTCATAAATTTAAAATAACATTATGATTGTATCTTTTATTTATTTTTTTATATAAAAAAAATATATATAAAATAGTAAAATATTTAATCATTGGTAAGTATAAAATATATGTTATAATTAATATTGGTTATGAAATAATAAATAATTTTATGGTATTAATAACACACTCATATATTTAAAATTATTTTAATATTTATGCATGTTATATAAATAAAATAACATTAATGTATTTTTTGTTTTATGGATAATATGATTAATAATTTAATAATTAAGAAATGCTTATGATTTAAAATTTTTCAATATTAATGAAAATACAATTTATTTATTGATATTATTACTGATTTATTAAAAAAAATATTTTGTAACTAATTATTATTATTATGTATAAATAAATAAAGTTAAATACAAATGACTTAATTATAGTAAAAAATTGTTCCCAAATTGAGATTTCCTATCTTATCAAAAATTAAAAATAAATATTGTAAAAATGGTGGGCTGAGCAAGTTGGAATTAAATATAATTTTCATGTTTCTAAATGAAATTTAGTATAAACATAATGTTCTGATATATCAGGTAATTTTTCTACTTCATGAATAGTTGGTTCTATTTCTGTTTCTAGAAGTATTTGGTCTAACCACTGTTGAACTTGTCCATGAGAATTATGTTGTTCTTCTATGATATTCTTTCTTGAATTCTTATAATTTTTTGCATTTTCTTGTTCATTTACATTGGTAATTTGAAGATTATAATTATTTTCTTGTAATTCTGTATTCATCTTTGAAATATGATCAACTTTTTTTTCAGAATCATTTTTTTGAAATGTAGGAATAAGATTAGATTTTTCCATTAGATTTATTGTATTAGACAACTCTAATTCAGTAGAAATATCATCTATGTTTTCATCTTTTATCGTACTAGAAAATTTAGTTTTTGTACTAAAAGGAATAATTCCTGTATTTTTAATAGACTTATCAAAATAAACATGATCTTTATTTATGTCTTGATATTCTTCAATTTTATATGGTTCCAAATCAGTGACTGCTGTTGAATTAGATCCTATGAGCTCTATTCTTCCAAATTGTTTTATTTGTTCTTCCAAAGCATTTTTTTCATTTAATATGGCTATAGAGGGAGGGAGAATTTCCTGACTGGATAATGCTAAAGATATTTGCTGTCTATAAATTGCTTCTGATTGCCTTAAAAGTTGTTTCTCTCTAGCATATAATGTTTGTGCTAACTGAGCAAAACATATTTTAATTTCTTCTTGAACCTTAAAATTAATTATATTATTTTAATACATATAATTATAATTAATTAATAGAATATAAAATGTTTAAAAAAATCAAATATAATTCTATATAAATATCATATTAGTTTTAAAAAAAAATAAATATACATAAAAAATAATAAAATTGAAAATTAAAAAAGTGAAATTATATACATATTTAATAAAATAAATTTTTTATCAATAATTTAATCATAATTATTGTAATTGTAATGATTTGAATAAAGACAATTTAAAAATTATAACCTTAAAATAGTTATTATATAAATACAAAAAGTCTCAAACAAGATATATACTGAAAAAATTACCTGAAGAAATTGTTTTTCTAAAAAAGTTCTTTTATCAGTTATTAATCTTATTCTGACAAGATGACTGTCATTGTCGGTATTTTCTTCATTTTTTTCTATCATGTTATTTACTTATATTATTTATTGAAATAATTAATTTTGCAACGCAGCTTTATTAGCAACGAAACGCAAAATTAATATTGTTCAATAATTAGTTGTTTTTTCTTAAATGCAAATAAACATTACTTCATAAAAACATTACTTCAATACACTTCTAAAAACTACTCATAAAGAATTCAACTTCTAATCATTTTGCACCTGTTATATTAACAACTGCACTGCCATCTTGATATTTTGAAAAATTTTTATTTTTTAATTAAAATAAAATAATATAATTATTATATATAGTATAAATATTATAAGATATATTTAACTAAAAATTAATGAAAAAAAAATATATATATATATAATAAAATGATATAAGGAGAAAACTCAAAAGTTGCATAGATATCCTTGCTACATTTTATATATTCTATGGTTTTCTATATTTAACTTAGTATACATCATTCGTATATTATGAAAAATATTAATATATACATATTATATATACATATCAATAAAAATTAAACAACTTTTTAAAAGTTAACTTTATTTCTTCAAAATTTTTATCATACATTCTTTTTTCTTTATTTTTTCTTTTTTCACATAAATGAAATTCTTATTTTGCATGTTACATTTCTTTAGAAAAAAAACATGCGTAACAAGTATGTAATTACAACAAATATTATTATAATAATAATATCAACTAAAGATATATCATGGATTTTATCAAAATAATCTATTAAAAATTTTTTACTTAATTGAATGACATCAATAAGTATTGTTTTTCTATTAGCAGTACAATAAAGATATCTATGATATTTTTCTATGCAAATCTACTATTTTTATTAAGAAAAAATTTGCACATACATTTTCTGCAAAATCACGCATAAATTGACATATTTTTTAAATGATAAAAAAATTTCATCAATCAACTGAGCAGCAAAATACAATAATCATGGCAGCATAAATATGTACTTTATAATCAAATTCAAAATGTGCAATATTTTTTATTTATGGTACATGTCCGATATTGCTAAAATAAGTTAGCAACTAAATTTGTAACAAGACTTACACGAATAGTTTCAAAACTTTTAATATTTATGAAGTACTTGAAATATTTACTTTTAGAATTATCTTGAAAAATAAAATATCGATTATTTTCTAAATGCAATTTTCTTGTGAACAATTCGTGTATAAAAAATTTCGTGTATCAGTATAGTAATAGGTAAATTATTCTATTTAATTTAAAACTAAACATGATTTTTGAACACTTTAGTTACTTTGTAATTAATGAGAACTTCTTTTTCTAAGAGAAATCATTATTATCTGGGTCATTAAAACATTCGTTTAAATAATACAAATTTTTTCATATACAGGAACACAAAAATATTTTTTGTTTTTTCGAATAAACGAAGAAAGTAATTTTACAATAAAATTATTACCAAAGTAATAACAATGTTATTAAATCATTAATTCGTTAAATTAATGATAATTAGAAAGTAGTAATTAAAACCATAAATCCATTTTAGGATTTAAATAAATTCCTGGCAGTTAAAGTGGCGTCAGTTCGACCGATGGCTGACCCATTTTCATTCGTAGATTTGTTACATCGTCTTCTATTCGTACTAATAACTTGTATTTCTAAACATACAGATTTAAAAGAAAATGATGAAATATTTTATTAATCGATAAATATATGAAATTTTGTCTTAAAAAAAGCAATAAATATATATAATATTTACCGTAGATCTATCTCCTGGTGTTGTCATCCAGGCATAAATCATATAACCAGGTATACAAAGCATCGAAGATAAAGCCGTCATCCAGCCGAGTACATGCGACCACCATGGATATTCATAATCTAAATATTTTACAGGTGTCCACTGTACGAGATTGAAGATAAAGACGCCCTATTAAAATTAATTAAAAAATAATATATACTTTTAGAGAAAATCTTAGAAAAAACATTCAAACTGAACAAAAAATTAGAAAGCATCATTAAAAACTCTTAATTTATAAACAAAAATAAAATTACTTACAACACAAATCATAGGAGTGGTAATAGTCCAACACAGTTTCCACCACATAAGAGGATAATATCCTATCATATCTCTTATAGCATCGTAGAATCGATTAACACCAAAAGCCCAGCTTATAGAGATACACTCAAAAAAAATTAGGAAGAGAAGACAAAATCCGGATACTGCATACGAATCCAGAATTTGAAAGACATACATGCCACCTTGTGAAATGCAAGATAATCCAATAATATAAGAAAGAACACAAACGATTGCGATAAAGATTTCTTTTCGTCGACGAAGCAATTGTGGCCATTCATCCACCTTGAATATTAAATAATTAAAAAATAAAACTATTTATTCTATACTAAGGAATTTAAAGAATATTACTCACCATGGCAGTAATAAATCCTTCCATGGTACAAAACTGAGAATCTAAACCTATAAGAAGAAGCATAAAGAAAAAGAGACAAGACCAAAGAGGAGCTCCAGGAAGTTGAAGAACTGCGGATGGATAAGCTAAGAAAGCCAATCCTGGACCAGAAGCGGCAACTTCTGCGACTGGCTTTTGCTGTTCATGAGCCATAAAGCCTACTACGGAAAATATGACAAAACCGGCGAACATACTCGTTGAAGAATTTACCGAACAAACGATTAAAGCGTCTTTATAAACATTATTTGTAAATTTGTTGTAACTACCAAGAGCTACTAATGTACCCAAACCTAAACCGTATGAAAAGAAAATTTGCGTAACAGCATCTATCCATACCTGCAAAATACAATAAATTATTGCTTTAAAAATTAAACAATAATATAAAAAAAATGATTGTTACAATATATTTTTATTATTATATTCACCTCAGATTCTTTTAATTTAGAAAGATTTGGGCTAATATAAAATCGAATGCCTTCCATAGCTCCAGGTAAAGTAATTCCACGAATCAAAAGAATCGTTAATAAAACATAAGGAAATAAAGAAGTAAAATACACCACTTTTCCAGTCCATTTGACACCTTTCCAAATGCAAAAATAGCAAAGAATCCAAACCAAAAGAAGTGTACCGGCTAATTCCCAACGAATATTTCCTACATATTCTACACCTTCACTAATTTGGAGTGCTCGACGTCTAAAAAATAATATTTCATATAATTAAAAATATTCATAATTTAAATATTTAATAACTATTACTAATAAAATATAATAATTAATAATAAAATATTATTAACTATTTAATGAAGCTTACTCCCAAAATTCTTTGACCGGATCAGTAAGTTCTGTGATAGTCATATTAACGTCGTTAACAGAACATACTTTAATAAAATTATGATGCTTAGTCATTTGAAGCCAACATGATAATGAATCTCTATCATAGGGATTCACGCAATTTTTCGTGTTCCAATAATTATTACAACTTCCCCACGGTAATTCTAATTAATAATATAAAAAATTAATACATTTGCTCAATTATTTATCCGTGCTAAATTTATTTTTATTCATTTTACGTAAAATTTATTAAAAAAAAGCAGATAATTAAACTGACCACTACGCATGGACATAAAGAAATAGAAAATAGCCCAAGCGAGGATAACGATGTAATAAACATTCATCCAACAGGACATAACAGCGGCAGCATATCCGATACCCTTAAAAAGAGGTGCTATTTTGAAGACACCTAAACCGCCAACGGTGAGCATTTGACCAAGAGCTAATTCCATGAAAAACATTGGAATTCCAGCAAGAACTAATGTCAAAAAATACGGAATTAGAAATGCACCGCCACCATTTTTATAACAGAGATATGGAAATCGCCAGACATTTCCAAGACCAATTGCCAGGCCTACCTATAGATTGAATTTAATTAGTAAGATTAATAATATTTAAAAGATAAAAAAAAATAAGAAAATAAAAAATTAAAAAAACATCATAATAAGATTATATTATAATAAGATATTATAAATTATAAATATTAAAGTTACCACGCTCAAAATAAAATCTAGTTTGGTGCTCCATGTACCACGTTCTGGCAATGGTTTCATTTTATTAGAAGTAGATGTTAGATTCAATGTAGTTTTGTCAGGATTTTCAGGATCTGCGAGTTCCGGTTCTGTCGATGCTTCCGTCATTTTAAATGATTTTATTCGTTCACCGTGAAGAAGTTCTCTCGCTTTTGATTATTTCTCTCGCGTGTTCCTGTATTGGTCGCGGAACTACCGCGAAGACATAACAGTGATTCTGTCGACAATTTCATATTTTTATATATATTTCTTCGTTTTTTTTAACTAGTCCCTCAATGTATTAATTACATACAAAATATTTATTTAATTCACATGAGTGAATTATAAGCTCTTTTAGAGATTTTCAAGGTTAAAAGGATGTAGTTTAGAGAGAACGAGTTTGACCGAGTTCTTTTTCTGGAATCGGATGCGATTTGCGTTTTGTCATGTGGAAAATCTACGGAAGACTATTATACGTTGAAATTCAAGAATACCAGCTGAGTGGAAAATGGCAAATCAATGACTGTATAAAATCTGTATTCTATACGTTTCTAAGAAATTAAAAGTTATATTTTATTCGAGTATTTTAAATGAGTATTTTATGAGTCCAGTGAGTTTCATTTTAAAATGAATGAAAATGAAAGGTAAATAAATCTTGTAGTTACTACAAGATATAGATATTTTAATGATTCTTGAAAAACTATTTCTGAAAAACTAGTTCTCTTCATCGCGGAATTAAGAGTGAAATAAAGAAAAAATTAATAATGAATAAAAAATGAATAAAAAATCAATAAGAAAAAATTAAGGTATAAAAGTAATATCGATACGATCTGGTTAAATACGAATGTCCGGCTGGGGAACTCTGTAATGAATATCCGAGTCCATGCACGTTCCCCCAAAGCTCATCACACCCCGACCCCTTCGCGGCCGATCTATTGCCTGAATCCCTCTTCCTCTTCCACGCTCATAAAAAACAGCTATATTCTAATTAGCCGAGAATGCGTTGTTCCGTATAATCGACATTGCTGTGATCTTGAATTTTTCGCTTACTATTAATTGCTTCTTCGCATTTTAAAATTCATTATTTTTTCTGCAATTCTTCTTTCTACTGACTACACATATATTAATGACGCGGGTAGAAATGTCAAATTATTTGCACATGGTTCATCTTCTTTATATTATTTTTTGCTTTTTTTTCTTTTTTTTTTCGATAAAGTAATTTGCGAAATAAAATAGCTTTATACAAACCTAAGTATGATATATTATCAATCTCACGACACTGTGTCAGCCGTTTAAAAATTGCGTTTCCGTGATCACTGTACTTCTTCCTTTTAAATTTCGGACACTTCGTGAAAAAAACGGAAATGAAGAAACAGCCGCGCGGGAAATTCGGATGTGAGTAAAATCTCAGGAATCGAGAATATTATATGCACTACACTGCATTCACTCTTGATTCTTCACGCAACAACTCAATCAGATTAAACGAAATGCAATTCATAATTCAATCGAGTTTTCGAAGCAAAAGAGTATAACACTTTGATTAAATGGAACCTCGGCAAAATAGTATTCGACCATCAAGAACTGATAGGTTCTCTTGATCCTGGTGGCTCTAACAATCTTATGATCATCGATTATTATGTATGATCTACATGAACTAACTAGAATTTGCAATCTTTCGTTTTTTTCTTCCTTGCTTTTTCTCGTTTCTCTTTATCGTTTGTCTCGATGTTGATGTTTAAAAAAAGGTTTATGTCCAAGGAACGATGCGAATGCTCAGCCGGTCCGCTCAGAACTGGAATCAAGAGTTCACTTTCGACGGCGAACTAGCTGAAATATCGGGGGTACAAAATCAGGGGATCCCCCTTTTCCTTTTTTCCTCTGGTCCACCCTTGCCGTTTACATCGGTGTCATACATTTATTCCGCGCGCTCACTCATGCCTGTTCGCGAACTCAAAGCAAGAGGGGACGAGGAAAACAAGGAGAAAGAGGTCGCAACAGTATATCATCATCAAGTTGACGGCTATCCTGACGATATTTTGCTCTTTATTGTTACTCATATCAGATACATATACGTATCTACATATACATATCTATTACTTTTCTGTTAAACTTTGATAATTTTCTAATTCCACTTAACAATTTTATTATAATTGTTAATTAAATTATATTAATTTGAAATTTTATATAAATAATAAAAAAGAAAAATACTAAGATGTAATAAAAGCGTTTGTTATATAAATTGTGGAAATTTTTTTATAATCGTTCAGAGGATAATCTTAAAAAAAAAATCATTATTTTATTTATACTTCATTTTTTAAACTTCATTTCAACATTTATATAAATGAAATTTTGGTAATGCTTAATTATTTACATTTTACCTGAGTTGAGTTTATATTATCTGAATTATTGAGGAATGTTATTCCTTTTATATTTTTTTATAATATAATATGATCGAAAATGTAAATTCTATTTTTAATCCAAAATAAGTAAAAAATTAATTCATTATTTACAATTATTACAATTATTATATATTGCAATATATTATTGTACATTTTAAAATAACATTTTCTTATATAAATATCTTATTAATTGAATAAAAAATTAAAATCATAGCTGATAAAGAAAATTAGATAAATTTTCATTATATAAGTAATTTGATAATAAAAAAGCATTTCTTCGATATACAGTTTATATGAATTTATATTATATTATATTATATATTCTGTTATATTTATATTTATATTCTGTTATATTATATGTTCTTAAAATTCTAATTTAGAGTTTATTGTAAGAATTTCCTCCAAAATATAAAATAGAACTTAGTTCTTTCTATAGAATCCATAGAATACATTTACACAAAATTTCAAATATTTTTATCTATATTGAATAATTAATAATACAATGTTTTCTAAATTAATATTTTTATTATTGAAACTATATATCAAATAGGCAAGTTTCTGTACTTTTTGATAAAATGAAAGAGTGCGATAAAGTAGGTGAGCAAGACTAGGAAGCTAGTATATCCGGAGGGTTCACGTGACACCGATCTATCGCTACATCCGTTCTGAGTATACTCCGTAATATAGATCATCAGGATGATCGACATTAACTCACATAAATTTCATCTACTATAGATAAAGAAATTGCTTTTCGATTTAAAAAGTTGAACAATAATTTAAGAGAATGAAAAAACTTTTTTGTAAACACTTGTGATTGGTTTTTGTTCTAATAGAAAAATATTAATATCCATAGAAATCTCTTTAAATAAATTGAAAAAATGAATCTTTATTATATTAATCGGATTCAATATATAATGATCGAATCTATGTAATTTTTTCAGAAAATAGGAAACTTTCAGCATAACTAATTTTTATACTTTGTATGCGCGCGCGTACACACGTTTTGATTGCTCGTTAACGGTCAGCACGGCAGAGGGGAGCATCCCCAACTAGAGGATGTGCGGGAAGTGCCGCGGGAACCGCATTAAGAATTACTTTACAGGTCACATTTTTTTACGAATCAAATCTTTTTATGAACTAAAAAATTATTGATATTAAAATTTTTAATATTAATAAACAATTTTTAATATTAACAAACAAAGATAAAATATAAATTGTTTAAAAAAAATGAATAATAGATAAATGAAAAGCAATATAAAATATAAAAATAAATTACATTATTTAAAATTAAATATCACACAGATATTTTTTACTAAATTCATATTTTATAAAATATTTATTTTAAATATGATAATTATAAAAATAATTCTTAAATTCTTTTTTAAATATTATAAATTAATAAAATTAAACATTTTATATAAACAATTAATAACTTAAAAATCATTATTTTATTTTTAATACACAAACATAATATTTTTTATCATATATGTCAAAAAATTTCTTATATAAAATAATTTTTTTCATGTTTAAAATTGTATAAAATTAAATAAATATTTAAATTTGTTTCCTAAAAAATTTTGTAAAGGTTGGTATCAATTTATGTTGCTAAATTTGGCCATCTTGCTATACTCTGTCATTGTGAGAATAGGAATTAAATTTTCTAACCTAATACAATATTTCTTTTTTAAATAAAAAAATTAGTTTATTATAAACAAATAAATAATTTTTTTTATTATTATAATGGCAGAAGCAATGCGTCAAACCGTAGCTGGAATGTTAAAAGGCATTGAAAGGTATACATTTATTATTTAAATATTTAATCAAATTCATTTCATTCTTTGTAATTTATCTTAATAATAAAAAAAATGTTTGAAAAATAAATATATTTCTATAAAATTTAATTATTAATTTTACATTTTTTTTAAATATTGATTATATTTTTTTATTATATTTATCTTATATAGTAATTATAAATATTACTATAAATAATATACTAATATTTTATACAATTGTAAATATTAAACATGCATGTTAAATATTATAATTATTTTAAATGATATAATAATAAATAATAAATTTCAGATATAATCCAGATCATTTAGCAACTCTAGAAAAATATGTTGAAATACAATCAAGAGAAAATGCATATGATTTGGAGGCTAATTTAGCAGTTTTGAAACTGTATCAATTAAATCCACATAGATTTAACATGGATATCACATGTCAAATATTATTAAAAGCTTTAACAAATCTTCCTCATACTGATTTTGTTCTTTGTAAATGTCTTCTCAGTGAACGAATTGTAAGTTTTTCATTTTATATGTTTAATAATATTTTCATTAATAAATATTTTTATTATAATATAAATGTAGATCAAATATTTTGATTAAAGAAAAAAATATATATTAAATATAAGTAAATAAAAAATATAAATATATATTATAATGAAATATCATTCATGTTTTATTTTAATTTTTTGATATTTTTCTAATCATTATTAGAAAAATTAATTTCTTGTTATTAATTTAAAAATCATTTTTATAGATGCAAGAAAGTCCTATTAATCAAATTATGTATTTGGGAGATATTTTAGAACAATGCGACTTTCAACATTTTTGGGATAGAGTCCTTTCTATGTCTGATCTTTGTGATAGAATTGTAGGATTTCAAGATTCTATAAGAAAATTTGTTTGCCATGTAGTAGGAATCACATTCCAAACAATAGATAAAAGTCTTCTAGCACAACTTCTTGGAGGTGTTGATGGTAATATAATATTTTTTTTAAGAACTATAAAAATATTCACAGAATAGAATATTTTGTTATATAATATTAAATTAAACAAAATAACCATAAGTTTAACATAAATCTACTAAACTTAATTACTAACATTGTTCATATATTTTAAAGTTATGCAATATTTATAAAAATCTTTTTAATTTAATTTATATAATGTTAATATATATATATATTTATATATAATAAAAAAATATATATATAAATACAATAATAAAATATTTATTTTAGATCCTACATTAAAACATTGGGTAAAAAAATATGGATGGAAAGAAGAAAGCAAATCTATTATTTTTATCGCCAATCAAGATGAAAATATCAAGACAAAAAATATTACAGAAAAAATAGATTTTGAAAATGTTGCTGGTTTAATGGCTGCTTGTCTATGAAATTTATATCTTAAATTTTTTTAAACAAAATTCTTGTTTTTCTTATAATCTATCTTTTCTTATAATATAATACTTTTTTATGTACAATAATTTTATAACATATATATAAATATCATAAAAAAAATATACATTTTGCATATTATTTAAATACAATCGAATTATATTAATATTCTTAAAAAATTGAAGACTAGTACAATTGAAATATTTCAACATAAAATATTTAAAAAAAATAAAATTTCAAGAAATTTTTGAAAAATATACTAAAAAATTTGATTATATTTTCTAAAAGTTTTACTAGGATTTTGTTGAATATGTTCAATGAGTAATATTACATTCAATATGATTACTAACATTTGATTCAATCACATGAATATTAAATTTGCAAGTATATTTAAATTTATTTAATTGTATGGAATGCCTCATGAATAAATACTAATTTAATAATTTATTTTGAATTAAATTCTGATAAAAAATTAAATAATAAATTCAACAATAATGAAATAAAAATATAAATTTAAAATATTTTTTTTCCTATATTTCTCTTTTATTTCTGTAACTTAATATAAAATTATTTTAAAAAATTAAAATAGTATAAACTCTTTAGTTTTAGATAAAAAAATGTTTTCAATAATATTTAATTTAAATAATTTAGATTGTTTATATAAGCAATTGTAATTATGTAAATTTTTGTTTTTCAAATATCATTTTTTAAATATTATGATATATGATGATTTAATTTTTTTTTCATTAATTGTATTTAAATAATAGAAACTTCTGTAAACATATAAAAAAGTACTTATGGCAAACAAAGCCATAACAAAAGCTTTTACTCCACAATGTGCAATCGAATATTTATCTAAACTTCATGATCTATCAGGTACGCATCTTTTCGGAAAGTATAACGTGGTGGGTTTTGGCAAGGAAACATCCATAAAATTGGATGGCTCTTACCACAAACTTCAGAAAGTAAAATCAAAGTACGCGAACTATTTCTTTTATAATGATGACTATTCTGCATATGTTCCATTATATTTTCTTCTCCCAGGATACCTTGAAATTGGTCTACAAGCATTGCGATGACAAACATACCAAACAGTGCTGATTCCAATACCAATATAACACAGTGTAAGCTGTAGAAAAAACTTTTTGATTATTTCAATTTTTTTTAATAACACATTTCGGTATATTAATACTTAATTTTTATATTAAGTTTATATTAAATAATTTTTAAACTTAAAACTTTATAAACTTTATAAACTTTAAATTTATAAAAGATATTTAATATTATTAAGATTTAATAAATTTAATCTCTACATTTTATAATGTTTTTTCTTCAATAAAAATATAATTTTTTTTTAATAGAGATATTTGAATTACTTTTCCAAACGATAATTACATATAGTTATATATTTAAAATACACATACATGCGACTCTGTTTAACAGCTATATCATTACTGCATCGAGAACATTCTAAAATCCATGAGGTTATCACCAAGCCTAGAGCATAGAGGGCCAATATTCCAACATAGATCAGAAATTGAATAAAGTACTTTTGATTTCGTTCTCCAACACAGTTGTTTATCCTTTGCAACATTGTAAATTAATTTATAATAAAAAATATTATATTTAAAAAACTACTATTAAAATATATAAATTATAAATTTATTATTGTTATTATTTTATGTTTGTATTATTATTTTTAATACAATAATAAATATTTTATAAATGCAATAAATAAATTTCAATACAAAATAAAAATTAATAAATTATCTAATTTAATTTATATATATTTTATTACATTAAAAATACCATAAAACTCTTTCTTACAAATTGAAATATAATCTCTATTAAAAATAAATAAAACAAAAATAAATTGTCAATATATATTATAAATTTTATATCTTTTGAAATTATAAATAATTCTTATATATCTATAAATTATAGCATACCATGGACAATGATGATCCATTCTTCTAACACAGCGTTTACAAATTCTACAGTGACATGCTTTAGGTGGTCTGTATGTTTCACATCTAGTACAAACAGTCCAACTGTCTCTTTCATCACATTCAATTTTTGTTTCTGGATTATCTGTATGAATGTCAGAAAAGTCCATACGGCTTTGAAGTAGTGGCACAACACCAGGATCACTGCAGACTGCTTTCAAATGTGATGTTATCAATAATAATACAATGGTGTTGAAAGCCACAACATGAAAAGGACCCCATAGACTATACATAATAATATAAAAAGAAATTAATAATATAAATCAGAAAATAGTTATCACAAGTGCATTTCCTAAAGTTGCATTTCTAATTACAATAAAAATATAATAATTACAACAAGATGAAAAAAAAATATTCTATTAAAAATATTTTATTAAGTTAAATTAAAAATATTAAGATTAAATTAAAAGATTAAAATATACATATTTATATTAATAAAAAATTTATATAAAATCAATTTAGTACAAATAAATATAAAACTATATATATAAATAAATGAATAAATAGAATTACAAACACAGAATTATCAAATGCACCTGTCTTGTAAACTATGCAGGATAACCCAACGTACGACGACGTAATCTGCATAAAAGACAGCAACGTACGTAATTATGATACACACGATCCCACAAGGGTCTTTTACAAACATTTTTATTTATTCCATACTCTTTATTAGCAAATATATGAAGTATCGTCATAGATTAAAACGATTTCATATTATTTCATTTTTCATTGAATTTACATTATACGAATTCAATTTAACTTTTATAAATTCCATTTAAGTTCTTTTTATTCTACAATTGTACTGAAACACCAAATCGAAACCGTATTTACAAGCAAAAAGATAATTTATTTCACTAAATTATCTTGAAACAATACAAACAATAAATTTTTTTACCAATACTGATCATTATTGACTAGCCTAAACTGGCCGCCATGATATTACTGTTATTAAATAACCACGTGATATTCTCTACTTCATTGTATATTTTTCCTCCTACTTAAAAATGTTAAATTTTCGCTACTTTACTAATATTATAATAATGAAATATAGTTTGTTATGATAAAAATAACTTAAGAATTATTAAATATAAAATTATATAATTTCATTGTTCTTATAAAATTGAAATTAAAATATTAAATTTATATATTGGTTTCTTAAATTTTATAATATATAATACAATAATTATTAGCACAATTATATAAAATAATATAACAATATAATGTAATAATTACATTGAAAAATTAATATTAAGAACAAATACTTTTAAATGTTATTTGACTTCATTGAATATTTAAATAGAAATATATGAACGTGGCAGAAAATCGTTCCATATAAATATATAATAATACACAATTAAACGAAAACTTTATTACAGAACTATTTGCAAAAAAAAGTAATAACAATAAATAATAATAATAATAATTAATAATAATAATGATGATGATGATGATAATAATAATAATAATTAATAATAATAATAATGATGATGATAATAATAATAATAATAATGATGATAATAATGATGATGATGATGATGATGATGATGATGATAATAATAATGGTAATAATATTAATAATAATAATAGTAATAATAATAATAGCAGCAGTAGTACTAGTAGTA